ATCTCTCTCTCTCTCTCTCTCTCTCTCTCAAATAAATAAATTAATTAAATCTTCAAACAAAAAAAATACATGAATATACTACCATTGAGAGAAACTGGGAAAATGGTACCCAAGGTCTCTCTCTGAAATATTTCTTATAGTTGCATGTGAATCTTCAGTTGTCTCAAAAGGTGTAACTAAAATAAAATTCTGATCTTGATTTAAAAATACATGAACAAGGAGCGTCCATCTGGATGGTGTAGGCAGTTAAACATCTGACTCTTGGTTTCTGCTCAGGTTGTGATCTCCGGGTCATGAGATTGAATCCTTGTTGGGCTCCATGCCCAGCGCAAAGTCCGCATGAGTTTCTCTCTCCCTCTGACCCTCCCCCACTCAGACTCACTCACTCTCTAAGTAAATAAATCCTTAAAAAAAAATACATGAACAAGGTCTTCAACAGAAAATTTTCATCATTTCTTTTTCTCTTTTTCTTCTACCTCTCCCCCACAATTTTAAAGTAATACATTTTTGTGTAATCTTATCATACAATCATAATTCTCTGTAACAAAAATATGTATGTTAAGTTGGACTTTTTTAAATTCAATTTTCTATAACCCAAAACTTTATGCATTATGTCTTTTCCCATGAGTTATCATTGTAATTGTTTCTAATCAGCTAATCGATATACATCATAAGTATTGTTAAATAATTATTAAACATAAGTAAAATTTAATTGAAAATGTTTCTTAATGAGATGAATGAGGCTTTTAAAAATAGTTTATTTAACAGACGAATATTATTTTTCATTAAGATGAGACCGTATAGCATCAAGTCTGTTTTTTGTTTCATTTCATCTCTCCCATCCTCTAACGTTAGCTCTAGAATGTTTCCTAACACCAGTTTTTCACAAGAATTGTCCCTTTATTTGGTACCAAGGAAGGTTTTATATCTTGGGGTAGTCAATGTAGGATTGATCCCCGCCCCCCCGCAAACCGTTGCCAGTATATTAGTTAAATGGAGTGTTTCTAAGCAAAAGAGTAACAGGTTTAATTGTCATTTGCTAAGTCTTAGCAAAGTCCTTTTTTTTTAAAATATATATTTCCCAGAAGTATCGCATAATAAGGAGAGAGGCATATGCCTTTCTGATACAACCTAGGAGTGGAGTGATCAGAATAGAGGGAAATTTGAAAAGGACAATGGTGATGAGATAGTTACCACAGGAGTCTCTCCAAGTAGATCAGTTAAGGGGAAAATGCATTTATTTGCAAATTGAGCTGAAAATTGATTCACTTAAAATTTTAATTTTTTTTTTCTAGCTTAAGTTTTTCATACCTGCATATTCCTTTAAAGGTGTTTGTGTACCCCCATGAGGAATTAATGACATGTGCTTGTATTTGTGTAGGTATTGGCTTACTCTACTTTGTGTTTTCCTTCATTCAATAAAGAATTTTTCAATGTCTATTTACTGACATACTATTTTTTTCTGACTGAGTTTAATAAATACATATATATTGAAATATTTATAGAATGTATCTCTTACATATCTGAGCTAGTACCATAAATGCATTTTTTTAATTCTAGAAGGGAGGTGAAATAGGAACTAATGGACTCTGGGTGGCTTACTAGGAAACCTGTTGGAAATACTCTTTTAAAGATTTCTCCTTCCTTTCTTCCTTCCTTCCTTCCTTCCTTTCTTTCTTTCTTTCTTTCTTTCTTTCTTTCTTTCTTTCTTTCTTTCTTTCACAGGGAGAGATTACAAGTAGGCAGAGAGGCAGGCAGAAAGAGGAGGAAGCAGGCTCCTGGGATCATGACCTGAGCCGAAGGCAGAGGCTTTAACCCACTGAGCCACCCAGGCGCCCCTGGAAATACTCTTTTGATAGGAAAATGCAATCTTTGTTGAAAGTGGTACAGATAATATTTTTAGGAGTATGCAAGGATCTGTTCTTCCTGTGACTGGTGAATGATAACCATACTTAAACACCTCCCTTCTCTTCCACTCTTCTCTTCCATAAGGCTGTGTCTTCATATTTCAAAGGAATTTCAAAGAAGACCATTCATTCACCCCCCTCCTTTGGATATACAATTGTATTTTCTGTAAATTTCAGAAAATTTGGAGTAGAGAGAGAGACTTTCTCTGTCTTTTGCTAGGGATACCGTGGGATATCTTTAATGGTAGTATCTTGGCCATAACTCTTGCTTATCCATAGAGACTGGATATGGTAATTTTATCACTCAAATTCAGCAAAGAGAGGGAAAAAGATAATTGGCTGAGACTCGTAAGAGAAAGGAAAATAAAGTGAGAAGATATGAAAGCACTTAATTTCTTTAGGCTCTACTCTGTTTGGTAATGGTTGAATTCATTTGCACATGTTTTATTTAAGGCAAGTATGATTATAGAGGGAAAGATTGCCTGCAGAATGCTGTATTAACAGGGAAATGTAGACAGGAAAAGAATTGTATCTGTGAATTGTACATACTCTTGTTGGAAGCAAGCAAAGATTTGGAAAGATGTTGCTCCAGATGTTTCTCCATTTTGGACACTAGGTGGTGGCATTGTATAAAGACAGCTTGGTTGCTGGTGAGTAATACTGTCCATCTTCCAGCGGGGATAACTCTTAGCAACTGACTAAATAAGCCCAACTAACTAAGCCCAATTTTCTTTTTTGTCTTTGTCACTTAGCTTTGTGGCACATTTGTGGTGATTTTACTCAACTTCTTTGTGATATTTAATTTACATTGTATATTGTACATAGATGACGAACTGGTGTTCAGATGAAAAAAACACCCCTGCCCTCCAAAACACGCCCCAACAAAAGTAATTTATATGAGTGATGCATAATAAACATTGAAAGTATAAAATATAGTAAATAAAAATTTAAATAATTTTGTACTGTATTTCCTCTTTTACTGGTGAAGGCCTAAGTGTACATACACATTTGGGGTTCAGGAAGAAAGACCTCAGAGATTGAGAAAGGCCCTCTCCATCTATGAATAACCCTTATGCATTACGGGGTACGGGTAACCTGCATCCTAGGGATCCTCTTTACCTTCCTTCCTGTGCCCCACCACCAGTTCTCCATTGTTTTCAAGTTTGAAACAACTGCGGAGTAGTGCATTTTTGGTTATGATTCAAAATGATACAGTCCTTTCTCTCGCAGTTAGAGTTGCTCCCTCTTAAATTAGAGGGGCCTTTCTTACTGGATTCGATGAAAATAGTGGGTCCCTATTATTCCCAAGTCAGAATTTTTAATACACTTTCACAGAAACAGTGTTTTCTGTGAGAGCTAAGTATAGCTAAAGTGGTATTACATACAGCCTTAATTTTAAAAGTCCTACTTCTCCATTCCAGGATCTTGGCCTCAGACTTCTCTGTTTTCTTTCAGAGTAATGATCTGGAAGAGCATTTTTCTCCTCTGCAAAATGGACCTTTTTATATTCCTTTTCATATTCCTTTTAAACCTGTTTCTTCCTGGATGTCTGCCTCATTTTCTCTGAACTCTGTACTCTTACAGGCCTTTTAAAAAATCGTCCTTACCTTATGTTAATCGTATATAGATTTTCTAATCCCAGCTGTACTCTACATGTATCGAAGATAAAGTTTCTTGTTTATCCTTATGTCATCAACAGTCTTGTGCAGTGTCTTGCATGTAGTAGGTGCTCAATTAAATACATCACATGCATAAGGAAGGCTTAGATAGTTAATGCCAGAGTAGGGTGTTTTAAGTTAATTACCTCTGAGTGAAAATAGCTTTTTATAGGGTATAAAGTATTTAAATTGGTTTTTAAGATAGAAGGACTCCTAAGGCCAGTTGCTTTCATTTTTGGTGGATGGAACCTATAGCCCCGCAGGTTATAAAACATACTAGTATAGTTTTTGGAACTCAGATTTCATTCTTATATGCCTGTCCAGAAAATGTAGTCAACATATAGAACAGTTTCATTGATAATATTCCAAATTACTTATCCTTTTGGGAATTAGTGATTTTTTTGAGACTCTTCATTGAAGCTCCCATACCCCCACATACACACAACACACTGAGAAAAATGCATACACATTTATACAATTCTGTGTACTGTGTTGGAGAACTCATAGACCTCATGTTAAGAACTTCTGCGTTAGATTTTAGAATAGACCAGCTGACTAGTCGAGATGTAGCTTGATATGATAAAAAAAAAAAAAAGTACTATATACAAAATCAGTTGACCTGAGTGAATTCTAGCTCTTGTTCTACCTGTAATAAATGTGATGCCATTTGGCAGGTCATGTAATCTCTTTTTACCTTTTTCTTTGTGAAGTTGTTGGATAAGAGTGAATGAATTTAGTCCACCAATTTACTTAGAATAGTGCTGGGTATAATCTGCATCCCAGTTTTTGTTCCTAGTCTTTGTTTCTAATACTGCATGAAAGATTTCTGAATTTTGTGATGCTCTGTCTTTCCCTTAAGAAAATTGCTTTCTGTCTTTAAGAAAATTACATTAGTGTATGTGTGTATATATTTGTGTGTATACACACACACACACACACACACACACACACGCACACTTTCAACCTGGGTAGCAACCAACTTGTTATGTTATCCTGTAAGACAGGTAGTAAGCTGTGTCCTGATCTTTTGAGACCTCTGTAAAGACAATAGCAAATAACCTCATTACTGCAGTGCTACTATTGAAAACTCTGAGTCAGGAAATGTGTGCTTGTCAGCATGTAGAAGGACCTGCAGAGAGAAAGAGGGCTGAGAAAATCTACTCAAGGTGTTATATCATTATACTGGTGTAACTTGTTAAAGTAGATGAAACTTTTCCCTATTATAGTTGCTAAGAACTTTAGTCTTTAGAGAATGGATATATTATGTCTTAGGGAAAATCCATTATTATTCATATAAAATTCTTTTTTTTTTCATATAAAATTCTTTATGAAAACAGATTCCATTGATGTTTGTCAGCAGTAAACAGGTTGTGTTAAAAATATGTAACGTTTATGTATTACCGAGTGAGACACTTTTTATTTTTACTCTAATTAGGGAAGAAGACAAAAACATATTTGATTACTGCAGGGAAAACAACATTGACCATGTAACCAAAGTCATCAAATCGAAAAATGTGGATGTGAATATGAAAGATGAAGAGGTATGGAAAACATGCCTTAATTATTTTCTTATGCTTTGTTGTTCCACCCCAGTGCTTCTTTTCGAAATGGCCTATGAACTACAACTCAAAGTATAGTATGGTTAAGATTGTATCAGAATATTTATATGAAATGGTGTTTCCCAGTTAAGATACTTTCTGTGTATGTATCCATCCATCTGTTGATATTGTGTAAGTTACTAGCTGAAACTTGCTGCGGTCCAGTAACTTCTATTTCTTCACAATACAGGGAGAGACTGTTAACCTATTAAGTGAAATCTATAGGTAATTTTAAAATATTTATAAATAGTTTTGGTGTCTTCTGTCATTACACTTCAAATAGATATATTGTCCTTTCTCAGTAAATATATTTCTAGAAAACAGTGTGTCAGAGTTTTGATAAATCCATTCTCTTTTTTCCTTCTTTCTTTCCTTTTTTTTTTTTTTTTTTTTTTTTAAGAGAGGAAGAGAGACAGATGGGATGGGGAAGGGAGGGGCAGAGGGAGACACTCTGAAGCAGGCTCCACACCCAGCTCAGATCCTGATGTGGGGCTTGATCTCACAACCCTGAATCATAACCTGAGCTGAAATCGAGAGTCGGCCCCACTAAGCTACCCAAGCACCCTGGTAAATCCATTCATTTAAATGTGGGCCTGCCATGTAAAGGGCTTCTATACTAAATTATTTTGTAAAATATATTACTTTTTAATTTATTTGTTTTGTGAATAAAACTGTTCATATATTGAGTTTAAACTGTCCTGGATTATAGTTGTTAAATAGGGAGCAAAATTTACTGAGTTTTACTCATTTTACTCATTCTTTAATAATGCAATGAAAGATGATCAAAATGACTGAAAGGTAACAATTATTAGGAAGAAGACATGCAGTGATCATAGATAATGTGTAGAGTAGATAAATCAGTGTACATATTGACAGCTCTTTATACAGGCTAGCCTTTAATATTATCTAATTGTTAGGCAGTGTCTTTCCTGTAATATATTGTCAATGATATTGGGAAAGACTATAATTCTGTAGTATAGAGGGACCAGTAATATTTTTGTTCTCCCCTAAGTAATGAAACAAACAGCTAAGAAAGATGTAGCTAGAGAAAAGTAAAAGCCAGGTTGGGAAATAATAAAACCAGGTCTTTTGATCCAACTAGGGTGTTTTTTTGCCTTTCGGGATTAGAATACTTTTTTTTCCCCCCAAGTAAATCAGGTGTAACTGCTTCCCTTGATTTTGTTATTTTTTGTTTTTGTACTTGGGAGTTAAGATTTTTATAAAATTAATACATGTAGGTAGTTCAACAAAAATCAGTACTATAAATCCTCTAACAAAAAAGTATTCTCTTACCTGAATCCTTCTCACATTGATTCTAGCTCCCTTGAGGCAAAAACTCAGTTTTTTTCATTGTTTCTTTTGCAATTTACCTGCATATTTCTAAATAGCATGCATGTATCTCTTGATTTTCCAACTTTAACCATTGATTTTCTTTTCTGCTATATTAGGATTTAGCTGTTTTACTTGTATTCCTCTCTCCTCTTCCCACCGCCCTAACAGTTATATCACAACATTTAGTTTCATTTTCTGATTGAATCTCTACAGAATCAATGTTAAAATATTATTATTATAAGTAATTATAATGTAGGTATAAAATAGTTATATTGTTGTTTCTATGTAAATTATGCACATTGCTGAGCTTAGGTGTACTGTGTGTACTAGTCAGCTTTTGTGAAATAACTACATCTATTTCTTGCTCACATTTCAGGAGGGTTTTGTATCAGGCTCTGTCTGCTATGTTAGCTAGCGTCGTTTGGGCTCAGTTCATTTCAATTTCATGTATCTTCTCATTCTCATTCTGAGATGTGGATAGACACTGGGGCAGAACTAAGGACAGACAGAATCAGAACCCACAAATACATTTAAAGCTGTTGCGTAGATGTGGCATGTGTCGTATCTACTCACATTCCTTTGGCCAAAACAAGCCACGAAGCCAAACTGGGTGGTAGGACACCTTTTCTGATGACAGGGAAGCAATGCATAGGTGGGAAGGAAATAAATAATTATATAATTATGAATAGTATAATCTACTTGCCATAGTACAACATTCTGTTTTTTCTAAAGGCTAATCATTGCTTCTTTTTTTGTTTTTATATCTTCTATGTTTCTATCATTAAATCTTTCCTCAAATTGCCCAACGGAGGTCTTTGTGCAGTCACGCACATCAGGTAATCAATCCCATACCGTTTTAGCGATACCCCTTCTGGAGTTCTCCTTCCTTTTTCTCTGATCTCAACTGGGTGCTCTCTAGGTCTGCTGTATAGATGCCATCCTGGGATTACGCTTTACCACTATCTTAAGAATACCCTTCCCTTCTCTCCTGGAGTCTTCTGTTTCCTGGATCCCAAGTCTTTTATTGTTTACTTCCTTGTTTAGATGAGTGTCTCTTCCAGTAGCTTCCTTTTTTATTTGTTTCCTGGTTTTGATGGAGCATTTCCTCTAGTAGCTTCCTGAGAAAGGTAAATATTTTGAGATCTTCCATTTAAAAATGTTTCAGTTAGAGTTTGGGGCATATTCCATATGCCCAATAAATATTTGACAAACTAATGAATGATTAAATAAATGAATAAGTAGGAGCAGTATATTTATAGGGGTGTCTGGGTGGCACAGTTGGTTGAGTGTCTGACTCTTGGTTTCAGCTCAGGTTGAGATCTTAGAGTCATGAGATCGAGCCCCACGTCGGGCTCTGTGCTCAGTGAAGAGTCTGCTTGAGATTCTCTCTCTCCCTCTCCCTGCCCCCCAACTTGTGCGCTTGCTCGCACGTGCTCTCTCTCTCTCTCGCTCTCTCTTGCTCTTGCTCTCCAATATAAATAAATCTTTAAAAAGAAAAAGAGAAGCAGTGTAATTGTGATGAGCTAGACTACATAGGTTCAAATCTTTGCACTGTCACTTCCTAGCTATATGACGTTTGTCAGGTTTATTTTGTGTCTCATTTTCCATGTGTATACAATGGAGATTATCGTAGTACCTGTGTCAACATTGTTTTGAGGATTAAATCAGTTAATATATATAAAGCACTTAAACAATACCTGACACACACATAACAAGCACTCAATAAATTTTAGCTATCTTGATTATTTTTAATGAATAATATGAATGTGATAATATGAAGAAATGAATGAAGATCACTTAACTCTCTAAGATTTCACTCATCTATTTATTTTAGAGAAAGAGGGAGTGTATGCATGTGTGCAGGGGGAGGGCAGTGTGGGAGGGAGAGTGATAAGCAGACTCTCCACTGGGAGCCCAGCTCAGGGCTCAAGCCCATGACCCTAAGATCATGACCCCAGCTGAAACCAAGCGTCAGACACCTAGCCAACTAAGCCATCCAGGCGCCCTGACTCTTTTTTTTCAAAGGCTTCATTTCTTTAGAGAAGTTTTAGGTTTACAATAAAATGAGAGGAAGGTGCAGAGACTTCCTTCCCATATACCCCCCTACCCCCTACATGCGTATAGCCAACCCCATTATTAACATCACTCACCAGAATGGTACATTTTTTACCAAGGATGAACCTACACTGATATTCGTAATCACCTGAAGTCTGTAGTTTATCTTAGGGTTGACTCTTGGTGTGGGTTTGGACAAATGTAGAATATCTATCCATCATTTTAATATCATACAGAATATTTTCACTGCCCTTAAAATCCTATGTTCTCTGCCTAGTTATACTCCCTGCTCTGCTCCAACCATTGATCTTTTTCTTATCTTTTCATTAGCGTGGTATATTTTTCTCCAAACATTTACTTTTACTCTATATGTGTCATTATATTTAAAGGGGGGTTCTTATAGACATAGTGTAGTGGGATCATGTTTTTAATCCACTGAGACAATCTGTCTTTTAACTATTGTATTTAGACCACTGACTTTCAAGTGATTATTGGTACAGTTGGATTAGTATCTATCATTTCTGTTACTGTTTTCTATTTGTTACACTTGTTCTTTGTTCCTATTTTTGTCTTCTCTTTTTCCACTTTTTGTGGTTTTAATTGAGGACTTAATAGGATTCCATTTTCTCTCCTTTCTTAGCTTATCAGTTAGGCCTCTTTTTTTTTTTTTTTTAACCATTTTTTTAGTGGTTGCTCTGGAGTTTGCAGTATACATTTAAAACTAACCCAAGTCTATTTCTTAGATGGTATGATGTTATCATGATAACATGATACCATTTCATGAATAGTTACCTTATAAGATAATAATAAAATAATCTTAATTTATCCCTCTAGTTCCTTGTATCTTTGGTGTCATTCATTGCACTTACATATAAGCATACATAATTAAGCACAGTGCTGCTGTTATTTTGAACAAACTGTTATCTGTTAGATCAGTGAAAAAATAAGAAAAACGAAAAGTTTTTATTTTGCCCTCACTTATTCCTTCTTCTCTGTTCTTCTTTTCTTATGTAGATCGAAGTTTCTGACATATATTATTTTCCTTCTCTCTAAAGAACTTCTTTTAACATTTTTTGCAAGTTCTGCTGGCAACGGATTTCTTCAATCTTTGTTTGAGAACATCTATTTCTCCTTTGTTTTTGAAGGAGAATTTCTCAGGATACATAATTCTAGGTTGGTGGAGTTTTTTCAAAACTACTCTCTTGCTTGCCTGGTTTCTATCTTTCTCTCTTTCTTTTTAAAGATTTTATTTATTTAGAGTGCAGGTGTGGGGGCAGGGGTAGAGGGAAGAGAGAGAATGTCAAACAGGCTCCACACTGAGCGCATGGAGCCTGATGGAGGGCTCGATCTCACCACCCAAAGATCATGACCTGAGCTGAAATCAAGAGGCAGAACTTAACTGACTGAGCCACCCAGGCACCCCTCTTGCACAGTTTCTGAGGAGAAATTAGATATAATTCTTATCTTTGTTCTTTATAAGTAAGGTGTTTCTTTTCTCCAGCTTCTTTTAAGATTTTTCTTTGCCTTTCATTTTCTATAGCTTGAAAACAATATGC